ACCTGTCAGGTGTTTTATGCAGATCTAGTAGCTAGGAGCTTGAAAGGGCCAAACATAAAGAAATGCTGGGAGAAGGAAGGAAATGCGAATTACCCTGCTCTGATCAATGCACACTGTATCCATGTGTTGAAATATCACACTCTATACCATTAATATGCACAATTTTCTTACAGGTTAATAAAAATATTACATAAAAATTTTAATTAACATTTAAAACAAGTAAATGCTTAAACAATTTGATGCCACTTGAGAAGGATGCAGAGATTTGTGGCCCAGAATCCCCTCAAGGACTTGTTGTCCCACCTGCTGGCAGTGCCCTGGGGAGATGGCCTCAGGTGATGGGATCCCAGCACTTGCCTTCCCTATATTCGGATCACATCTTTCCCAGAAAGTCCACATCCAATGGTGGGTCCAGGAGGGACACAGAGACCTGGCCATTCAGCCCAGCCTGAACAATGCTAACCTTGTCCTATATGGAGCACCATGCATGTGAATGGTCAACCACCTCCTTGGGAGAAAATGCCTTGATTTCTAAATCCTGCCAGTTTCTGGGGTGCAGTTGTCTACCTGTTTGAGGTGCAATTCAATCTATCAAGGTGGTATTACTGAATTTGGAGTTGGGAATGGATACATGACAGTAATCTTTCCATCATGCTCGTGTGCCAGTTACTCAAGGGCCTACTTTATATTCAGGTAGTTGTTAGGAGGTTTTAAGCATTTATTAACTTTATTTTGAACACAATGTATGTAATTGTAGGTTTATGTAATACAATCCTTAATAATGACTTTCTTGAACAACTGACTCACGTCTGTCCTAGAAACTTCATAATTGGTGCTGCTGAGCTGATAGGAGGGATCAGGCTCTAGCACCAAGCTCTGTACTTGCTGCAGTGCTCCCTAAGCAGGGTGGGGGTTGGGTGAAGCATCACTGGATGGCCAAGTGATTATGGACTGAAACCTCCACAAACCTTCCATGACCAACCCCATTTCTGGCTCCTGTCCCTTCCCATAGACACCGACCCCAGTTACTCTCCTGCCGTTTAGACAGCCAGTCCCCTGCCCAAGTGTCATTCATAACTTACAAACACTACTGCATTCTTTCCTCCTTAGTCTTCTCCCATTGGCATTTCAGCAATTTGGAATTTCCCAAGGGAGATGCCTCTGAAGACATATTTCTGAAGCCTGCTGTAGCAATGCCTTCCCTACCCTACTCTTCTTTCCTTTTTTGCTATGCCGGAGATGAAATTCAGGTCTTATATATGCTAGGCAAGGGCTCTACCACTGAGCTATGCCCTCTGCCCCAAGGCTGCACACTTTTGACCCTCTTCATCACATCTCCTTGGTCACTCTCTGCCAAGCTCTGATGGACGTATCATGCGAGCTGGTCTCAAGCTGACTATGTCCCACCTTAAGGATGCAGGCATAGGTCGCTTTGTTTTTTTAAATCCCTGGATTCCGATCAGTTGAGAATAGGAGCCAGACGGTAAATGCTTAGCACCTCAACTTTAATCCTTTAGAGAAGACTTTAGCAAGCTTCTCAGGGATCCTGATGGTACTGTGTGCCTGGGAGCCTGATGTCACAGCAGTGACCTTGATATTATACTTTCGTATCATGCCTTTGTATTGATTAGTGTTCCTGTTGCTGGGACAAAACTGCCTGATACCTGAAATTTAAAGGAGAGGTTTATGTTGGCTCATGGTTCCAGAAGCTTCAGTCCATGGTGAGCTGGCTAGAAGGCAAGAACATCATGGCAGAAGGTTCTGGTAGAGCAAAGCTGCTCACTTCAAGGCAGCTGGAAAGCAGAGAAGAGAGGAAGAACACCAGAGAGCGAGTGGCCAGAGATCAGGTGTAGCCCCCAAGGTCATGCTTCCATGACCAACCCAGGCACACACAGAAGAGTGCTTTACTAATCCCCTAGGCGTCTCCCAAGACAACGAGGTTGACACTCAAGATAAACCATCACAATCACACTGGCTTTTCATGTCTCCTTATCCTAGTATCTCAATTTCATCACTCCTGTTTCTTAAGATCATCTCTTAGAATAAATTACCTGCATCTTTATCAGGATCTTCTTTGGGGATTTGGAAGCAAATTTCCTCTAAGTGGCCTGCTGACCCAGTTTGCTCCCCATGAAAGAACATTCTACTCCTCTTTTCACATTTTCTAAATACAGCATAACCAAATGTTAAAATGACACTTATCTTGTAATAGTTGTTGGACATAATGGGTGACTGTGCCAGTTTGGTCTCTGAGAAGTGGATACCCAGGCAATATTAGATGTGCAAGAGATTTACAGTTGGCTGTCCATAGTTTCAGATCTCAATCAAAGACCACAAATGTTAGGCCTACAAGGGTGTCTGTACTGAACATGTAAGGATGTTTTCCTTGTCATTATTCTCTAAACAACACAGTTTAACAACTATTTACATAGCATTTACGGTGTTGTGGGTATTACAAGTCATGTAGAGATGATTATGGGAGAACGTGCATACACGCAAACTCTGTGTCTTTTACAACAAGGGACCTAAGTGTTCTTAGCTTTTGGTATCTGCAAGAGCCCTGGAGTCAATTTTGCAAAGACACCATGGGACGATTTTGGGAAAACACATGTGCAGGACGGAACAGCAGGAAGGAGACACAGGGCATGCAGGTCTACCGCTTCTGACAGAAGAAGGCAAAGGGGGAACGAGGAGGAAGCAGAGCTCCAGACGGCAGTGCAGTCCTGAGCGAGTGCCGAGGGACGGTGGGATTCCAGGCTAGAGTGAACCTTCTCAGGTGGAAACGGCGCAGCTCCAGTGCTTCCACAGTGCCGGGAACAGTGCGGAGACGTGTGGCCTTGGTGTGAGCACCAGGGTGGACCCCAAGGTGTGGCAACTGCAGACTGTCATTTAGCTTTGTTCCTGAGATCTTAGTGTGTCACCTTCGTGCTGCCAGAGACGGCCATCTCTACCTAGAAGCAGAGACTTTGGGCCATCTTTTTAGCACTTGCTAGTCAAGGGTTCTGCACCTCAGCCCAACCTGAGGGATAGGAGGGTAGGAGGGTGGGGGAGACATCGAGTCGGGGAGGGCTCACCCACTTCCAGCAAAGAAAAGTGTCCTTCTGGAGCTCTCTGGAGAGCCCGTGTAAGTCACATGGGGACACGGGATCTCAGAGATGACTGCCTACCGGCTAGGGTGGATGTGGTGGGAGGTTGCCTGGTGCCCTGCAGGTCCGTGTGAGCTGGGCTGGGGCAAGCCACCCGTACCCGCCCTAGAGGACGCAAGCTTCACACGCTAGCCAGGAAGACGTAGCAAAGGAAAGGGAAGACCAGGAAAGGGCTTCGCCCTGTCCGTAGGTTTTGGGCATGGGTCAGGCTGGTGGGTGGACGGAGGGGAGCAGGAAAGGATTAAGTGGAATAAGATGAAAGTTAGGACGTTGCTTGCACTGGGTTCTGTAATACTAACAAATCCACCTGTTCGTTCCACTCCTGTCCGTTCGTGACAGGAAAAGCTATAAAATCTGCCCTAGTTTCTTCCAGAGGAGAAGGGAGATCAGATAGAATGATTTTAAGAGACACTAGAGTGAAAAAAGTGTTATTTCATGATTTCCCTTCACCAAGCAGTCCAGTTTGTTAGTTTTTTTTTTAAAAAATTAACCGGTCTAAAATACTGCTAAATACAGAAGTCTAAAAAACCTAAAGACATAAACAAACCAGCCGAACCTAAACAATACAAATGACAGCGCCACAGTTCCGTGTGTGTGTGTGTGTGTGTGTGTGTGTGTGGGGGGTTGTGCGGCACTAGGGATTAAATCCAGAGTCTTCGCACGGGACTACAGCCCCCAGTCCTTTTAAAAAACTAACATTTGAGACAGGGTCTGAATTATCCAGGTTGGGTTTGAACTTACAATCCTTCTACCTCGGCCTCCCAGAGGCCCCATCACTCCGTCCTGACCACGGTAAATCTTTATTCCATTGCCCTTAGAACTGGAGGCTGCAGAAGTCTGTCCCGTCTGGTCTGGCTGGCTTTTGACATATTCCGGGTGCACGGCACAGGGGGAAGGCGCACTTCAGGCGGGACGAGAAGGGCGCTGGGAAGTCATCAATTTATTTACTTGTTATAAGAGAGGCCAAGGATGGACGGGAACCTTCAAACAGCGGGCGCGCAGGAAGCACAAACTCAAGCCCGCGAGCAGAAAGCCGCGCCCGCCCTGCCCGCGAGCCCTTTCGGAGGGCGCTCCGGCTCCTGGGAATCCGGACCCCGGAGCTGCTCAAAGTTCTGCCGGCGCTCGCCCCGGGGCCTCCGGCCGCGCGCGATCCGCACTGCTCCCCCTTCCGTACGAAGCGGAGAGGCGCACCCCGCTCCCCCGAGTCCTCCCCGCACCCCCAGCCCCGGGCCGCCAGCTCGGGGCGCCGCTCCGTGGCCCCGGAGCCTGCGGTGCTG